ATAGGAGGGAAAAGTGTGCAATTCGCCGGAGTGACAAAGAGAGAAAATCCCCTCCCCAGGGTCTCGGCCACCATGATTACCTTCATCTCCGACTCCCCCCCCCCCCACCCCTACATCTCTTCATTTTTTGCTCCTTTGCTCTAGAGGCTTTTCTCTTAACATCAGGAACGTCATAAAGGAAGAAACAAAACAACTGCCAATAAGAATTCCCAAGGCTCATTCTTGCTAAATGGAATGGAGTAGCATGCTGAGAAATGTCAGACCTTCCATTTTTCCTTTTGCTATCTATGACTTCGGCAGCAAACCCTCAGTGCGCTTGAAAGCGAAACGTTCGAGCTTCTGTAAATACGAGTTATCCTGAACCTTGCGCCTTCTGGATTTCATTTTCTGCGTCAGAGAATATGGAGAAAGTTTGCATGGGTTAGAATGATTAAGACTGTGTGTTCGTCGGCGTGGGCTTGTTTTAAATGAAAACGACTCCTGTCTCGTCTTCCTAATGAGATTTGAGGAAAACAGTCCTCTTCACCGAGGCATACTAGGTCCCAGGAGGGAAAGCTGGGGTACCCTCGCGTTTTATATCGCATCGATCTTCTAATTTCCGCCCTCTCGTCTTTCGATTAGATTGCGGCCCTTAAGGCAAGAAAGAAGGCGGGTAGCGGGAAAAAAAAGAACCTGTTGGCCAGGCAATACTGTATAAGTTGTGAGGTCCAGCCCGGAGTCTTTCCGTCCTCATTCCAGGTATTCGCCCGCATGAATTGTGAGATCCCTGGGAGACTCCCTATTCCCCGTTCTTCGTCGTTGAATGATGTATCAGGCCTGTTTCATCTTGATCACGGAAAGACGCTGAAAATGTTCTGTCCTTATTGCCCTTTTGTTACCAAAGGAGTTCCTCCCATTTCCCTGCTTTGCCGCCTCTAGCGAATGCTGGAAAGGGATAACGATGGAATCAAGGACACGAGAATGGTGACATCGTTATGTTTCCTCCATCTTCTTTATTTCTTCTCCTCCACTACGCACACCATACATACGTACATGGAAACGTTGCAAATGAGTTGTTTTCGAGGGCCCTTGACTTGTCGCTTGGAAAACCCTTTCAAGAATGCATGAAGCGACCCGTTTATGTTTCGAAAAACATTATATAAGCCTGAGCCTAAGCAAAGGCATATTTTCCTGTAACGGTTTCTTCGAGGGGAATATCGTCTGTGATCTCATCGGAGAGCATAATTAAAGCGTAATTGAGATCAAGAGGAAACGCTACCGCGAATTTTGATGGATTTCCATAATCTTTCGACACTTTCTCCTTTAGGGGTGGGAAATGCAAGGGTATCAAGATCCGTAGGGAAGGCTTTTAAATGCAGGATCGATAGCAAGAGGTATAATGAATCTGATTGCGTAGTCCATGGATCCTCTCTGGATAATGAACTCCGTTTCTGTGTGGCTGGAGACTTGCATTATTCTCAATTTCTCTCCCAACTTGTGTTTCAGCGAGTCAAGGCCTGATTTGAAAGTGGACGGGATCATAAACGACGTAAATGCGAGAGCGAACATGGCGGTGGAGATCTTTCTGGCGATTGCGATCTTTGGTACCTCGTTGCCGATTGTAGCTGGATCCGTGTGTGATTTTCATCTAAACGCTGGGGCCGCGTTCACGAGAAGTCATGCGATCGCGTGACCCACAAACCCTCCACACTTACTCATGCACATTCTCAGATCTCCTCGTTTAAGCTGGACTACACGGACCGATCTTGTCGACGAGAGTCCATTGTTGCCAACGCCGAAATCACGGTCGGAACGGAAAAAAAATTCGGTGCAGCCGCGACCGTTCGATCGGTTTTTCGCTTGCCTGGGCGAATCCAATCGGACAAATTAACTTATTTTCAGGGTTCGTTAGGGTGCCGCCTCGTTAACCCGGTTTGACCTTTCATCTCTTTCGTCTTTTTTCTCTTCCTTTGTCCGTCCCCCACCGTTGAAAAATGCCACAGAATTCTGCATTTCCTAGACGCCCTAGTCAAAGGAAGGGATGAGGACGAAAAAAAGGGAGGCAATATCAATCTGGACGAGAACAAAGGGAAGCCCTCGATCAGGGCGACAAAGAGAACGGCGTCTCTCTCCGCATCCCCCTATTGGCTATAATACGCCATATTTACGAGGACATGGGGAAGGAGAGGAGAAACGGATGGAGAGAAGAAACTCATTGAATCTTTCATGGCAGAGAAGATGGTTTATCTTTTCCTGAGTCATTTGCTAGGTATTCTGGGCTCAAAGGGAACTCTATCACCTCGAAGATGAATTTTCCCGGTAATCGAAGAAGTGGAAGCAGGAGATTGCCATGTGTAAGAAGAACCCCTCCCCTCGTTGAAACCTGAAGTGCAAAAGCCCCTGTGAAATGAGGGCCTGTTGACCACGGGAGGCAACCGTGTTGCGTGGAGCGCAGGCTTCGCATATTCTCATTCCTTTCTCATTCCCTCTTCCCTTCTCTGTCCTTTGCCCATTCCCCCCCCCCCCCCCCGTGCCGATATTCCCTGACGTCACTCGCATTTGCTCTTTCTTTGGGCTTTCTCCACCATCTTGACCTAATCATCAGATCTATTCGTCTCGGCGGGATGCCGAGAAGAGATCGTTGGCTTTGCTTCTGCAGCGGGGATTTCGGGGCGAGACGAAGCCGGAGGATACGAAGACGGGGAATGCCTTGATTGAGTGTGTGATCACTGCAAGTATGCATGGAAAAATTAATTGAAAGGACGAGCGGAATGCTTAGCAGTTACAATTCTTTTTTCAGAGAATTGTAACTTCACGTGTCGAGATGTACTGCGCGTCGCTGAAGAAGTGCAATATGTGCCTCGGGTCTCGTGAGTTCTAAAGAGCCATACAATCGATATCAACTGTCCAGGTGAAGGGGAGAAGAGATTATGTCAGGAGGAGGAGGCGAGATGGTCGAAAGGATGAGGAGGAAGCCGGGGAGTGACCTCGGCATGCCGTTGGGTCTTCTTGACAACCAGCCACACACCCACGGGTCCACCACCATCGTCAACTGCTCCGGCATGTCCTTTTTTCTTCCTCTTTACCTCTTTCACCCCCACCTCTCTCTCTCTCTCTCTCTCTCTCTCTCAATCCATCTAACCATCTACGTATTCTCCTGTGTTTCCTACGAATTCCATATGCTGTTTCGAATTGGAAGCAGTGATGGGAGAGGGGGGCATTCAAATGCATGCGTCGATCGGCTCGAGTAAAGTGTTGATTATGGTACGACCCCCGATTTGCATGCAGAGTAGATGGGCTTCTTCATTCGAGGGTTCAACTTTGAACTTTGGATCAAAGGGCCCACCGTGATGCCTAGCGACATCTGCAGCAACGAATTAGAACTCCCTGGTGATCCAATCTTTGCTAGATGTCGAATCAGATAGTTCTCTAACGGGAAGACCGATGCCTCAAGTTGGAGCCATATGTCACTCGTACGGAAAGGTACAACTGGTTTTGAGGGATTCGTGGTTTTCGGATTTCGAAAAGTAAACTCTCGAAGACAGGCGTAATAGGAGCTGTATCAGTCCTCCATATCTTGGATATACCCAACTAGAAGCAAGACAGAATCAGCTTCTTTTACTAAGAGGTTCGGCTACTTTTCATTAAATTTTCCCCGGAACCACCTGCACCCAGCTTGATGTAATGTATGAGACGGGGAAGTAGTACGGAGAAGGAGTAGGTGGAAATAATTTTTTTGTTAGAAGATTCTTAATGGCCGGGTTGTCAGGGGTGAAGAGCTCCGTCTGCTTAACCCTCCGTCTGCTATAAATACCTTATAGTCTCCCTTTCTTCAGGCGAAGGAAAGAACGTCTTCAGCTGGTCGAGACAGTGCTCTCTTTCTCCATTTCCGTTCCTCGTTTATTCTCATCTCCTTAGCCTGTGTCCGATCTCTGATAGTGAAATGAACGCATGTCGGTAGTGAATGAGCCTCCCCGAGTTAAGGAAATCCCATGAACCTCCAGGTAAGCCCTTGGCCTTCCTGCCCTGGATTTGCTTAGAGGTAGCGTAGAATATACTGTAGGCAGTATGAATAAATTATAAATGGAGGCCTCGTTTGCCAGGTTCCTACCTGGTCGTTCGGCCTTACATCGATCATGCTGGTGTTTGAACTCCCGTGACGTCATCGACCTGGACTAAATTCATAACTCCCAATGCGTAGAAACCTTTGAATTCACTTCCATTTCTAAAAAAAAATTGTAATAAAAAAAGCTGAATGTATTGGCCTCACGTGATAAGGTCTCTTCGCTAGTGGAATTTCACGAGTGGAGGCTTTTCATTGGGTGTCGCGTGATCCAATTTCTCCTCTCGCCACCGCATTTCCGATATGAATATTCCACGAATTCCCGAGCATACCGTCTCCCAATGACAGTAATTATGATGAAATGATGGCCCTTGCAGACAAAGACCTTTCGATTTTCGGTTCTACTGATGGCCTGGAAGGGAGATGGAACATGGAAGTCCTGTTTGCATAAGATCAGGTATCTCGTCGTCGTCGTGAAATCCATTTATGACGATGATCGCGATGCTCGTACGTCATCCATAGAGCAACTCTATCTCCGGTCTTCCGAAGGCGTTGGGTCCACATTCATCAGTCTCTCCAGTGTCCGGATGATGAGAAAGTGCGTGACCGGGATTCATCAAGGTGATCTTGAGAATGATTTCTTCGAGAATGACGTCCATCAGAAGTGAGGGTGTTGGACGAGACAATGGAATAAGAGGGGCCAGAAGACGAGGTTGATGGGATTTCACCCAGCGATTCCGTGATCTCGTGCAACACCTGGAATTGGACACTTCCGCTCCTAACAATGCATACTTGCCTTGGTATAATCGATGTAGCTCGTGGGCCTCATTTCTCAGTTGCCCTCCCGGCCGGATCCCGGTCGTGAGAAACATGTGGCTCTTCCCCTTGCAGAGGGATTTCCGCCCAGGTCTCCGCTCAATCTCAGAAATAGCTTATGCGGATGGATCGCGAAATATTCATGCTATGTACTTTGAGATTCGCGCCTTGACTTTCTTTTTTTCGGGCCGTACTGCAGGGGTGGAGACCAAGTTTTTTTTCTCGAATCGAGGGGTATGGGAGGCGAGGTTCTTCTTGAAGGAGCACGGGAAGCGAAACAAGACGTCGATCCAGACCTCGGTCTACAACTTCCTGGAGCGCCCCACCGGCTGGAAGTGCTTCATCTACCATTTCACCGTGTGAGTGTTTAATTCTCTTTCGTCTGTGTTTCGTGTTACATTAACTTCCCATTGTTAATCTATCCTCTGTTCCTCGTTCCTTCCTCTTCCAAACTCCTGTAATTTTTTCTAGAGCCATTTCAATGTATCGAACGGTACTGTCGAAGAAGAACGTGAGGTGAAAGCTATTTATTGCTCAATCTAGGAAGGCGCACAAAACTTAGGAAACCAATAAACTGAAAATGGTGCGTCTAGGCAGCAGTCATTTGATCATTCGCAAACCAGAAGTGTAAGGTAACGAACATTACATCGAACGAACGTGACCTCTAGGTGAGGAGCAACGCACTTAAAATTTCGTAGAATTTACGCAGGGTACGCAGTCGTTAGTTGTTATTTTACATCAGATGATCATATTAATATAAAACCATGTTTCAAAAATGATTCGTAATAATTCCCAATCTCAAGCAGCCCTCTGAAAAAAAGTTGCAAACGTCGTACTCCGACTCATTGCTTGCAGACAAGAAAGAATCCAGTCTCTGGACATTGTCGTATTTGAGGCGATTCTGAGTCCAACAGTTTGTTTTGGTATTTCCATATATTTCACATCATGCCGTGTCGTTGATTTATGAGAGGGATTTATTTATCTGAATTCATCAATCAGCTTTCGAGTCATCGAGTCAGCATCCCTCCTTCAAGTTAGCCAGGAATCAATTTTTTATGCTATAGAAAGCCTTCATGCTCTCTCTGGAAACAAATGTGATAAAAATTAATAAGCCCTCCCCCCTCTTCCGAGCCTGAGTTTACGCTGAAAATTTTTCAGCTCTCAATGAAGGTAAGTCGTTGAATTAGGATAGAAGATGTCCATCTTCAGCTGGAATGAAATTTTTGTATCTCTCAACTGTCCGAGTCCTGCGCTCTCAGAGCTCTCAGCTGGAGGAATTCATTATGGATCGCATGTAATTATTAATTTTTGTATTTGCAGACAAAATCGGCCAGGATGAAAAAGTCCGTACTCAGAATAAGAATGGGTACTATAAACATGGACATGATGTTGTTAACTCGATATTTTCCTACTTTCCTGTGAATGCGTCACGGAGATCATACATTCATTTCGTCTTGCCTCAAAATGCGTAGCTGACCTGCTCTCCACAAAAAATTGGCTTTTTCTCTTGGAGAAGATAGAAGGAAATGTCGCCCTGCAAGAGTATGAAGAATTATGTCTCGGAAGTCTTTCTTCTTTTTCTGCCCAAAACGGAACAAGGGCCGGGGTATCTTTCTCCATCTGAGGAATAGGCAATTCCTATTGGGAGCACGTGGTTACCTACGTATTCTCACGCGAAGGTTCTTTCATCTTCGTCGGATTAGATCCAAGTATTTCCTGGTCGTAAGACAAGTTTCAAGTATCTAGTATTCATAATCAATTCTTCGTTGTGAGAAACATCACGTTTTCACAAATACGATGCTTTAATGATGAAGGACATGAAGTTGGCCACCGATGGGAAACGATCGAAGATCTATGATGAGCATTGAAGATCATGTCACGCAAGTTCCTTCCTCTCGTCTCACACGATGGCGTGTGTGCAAAAACCCCAAGATCCGTGCGACTTTCATTTTTTTTAACAAGAAGGGCAAGGAAGCAAAAGAGCTTGGAAAAGAAGGAAGGGGTGGTTACCTGATTGCCAATTTCTATGGACGAAAAGAGGGAAGAGGGGAAAACGTTTCGGGACCCGTAATTCGATTAGAGATGCTAGGCCAACTTTTCATGCGCGGGTTTTTCCCTTCCGTCTACTTCAATTTCCCCTCCCCTATCTGGACAGGCCATCGGGTCCCTTCCTCCTCCTACCGAACCAGGAAGACAATGAGAGAAAAAGAGGAACTCCGAAGGTCAATGAAAGAATGATGAAGCAACAAGAGCAGGGGAGAAGCGCGCGGGTCAGATGAAACTTTGATCGGCGCAGGCTCGCAAACCACACGACCCGGCCACTCCCCTTCGCTTTCCCTTTCCTTCACAGTACCCAAGTCCGTACACACACACACACTCACGCACAACACTGCAGTAGAAGCCCGAGTCATTTCCATCGACGCATGGAGTGAGAGGGACAGGAAGAGAATGGAGAGTCGGTCCCCGTTCAGGACATCCGTCACGACGGAGGACTTGCTCCTGTGCGTCGGGTTTCCACCTTCGTCGTCCTCCTCCCGTTTACGTGCAAGCCACAGTTCCATCTCCTCGGCTTGTTTCCGTGAAACTTCCCTCGATGCTCCTCTCTCCTTCGCCGACGACGAAGTGGACGGGAAGAAGCACGGGGAAGAGATTCCGATGAATCTCGAGATTCCGATGAATTTCGAACCTCCCGAAGAAACTCAAGCTTTTCTCGCAAGAAAACCGCCTTCGATCGGGCCCAATGGTGTCCCACCTGTCTTCCTGCCCCTGGACAAGGCATTTCGAGCCAAATACATCTTCATGCAAAAAAGAACCAAAACGTTGAAAGAGCGCGTGTATATATTCCTCGAACATCCTGGCGGATGGCTGTGCTTCATGTACCATTTCATCGTGTGAGTCTCTCGCTTTCATTGCATTAATTGCAGTGTCCTACTATCGACCCGGCATTTCTCATTCATGATGCCGCGTCCTCCTGATGTTTCATTAATGGTTACCTGCCTCTATATATGAGTAGCAGCTACTCCATAAGCATGCTGGAGAATCAAATAAATCGTCTCGATATTATGTTCATGAAGTTCGGAGAATACGTCTTCGCAACATTGCTAACAGCAGGGGGATCTCGGAGAAAGAAAGGAATGAAGCTCCTGGTGGAGAGGGGGAATCCCCATTCCCTGATATAGTTAGTGCACGCCAAGTCTCGATTTTCCTCTACCGATGACCACGATCTCCGACCATCGTATGAATATTATCCCTCTCGAGGGCTGCCTTCCAACTTCTACTCACGTTTCAATCGATGAGTCGCCATCGTGCGATCGGGAGAGTCAATGGACATGTCCATGGATCGTTAAGGAGGCGTTCTGCAGAGAAATGAAATGCAAGCATGCTTGCACTCGGTTGCCGCCTCGGATTCTTCCCGAGGAAAAGCACAAGTACCATCCGTCTCGTACGATTTCGTATTCTCAAAAGAAGAATTCCGATCTTCCCACATTCGATCAGCATTTCCTCAGGGAAGAACCGGGAGGAAGCATCGAAGGAGAGGGCGTCATGTGGTTGCACGTCCACAGACGACTCGGTTCAAATAATCATAGACTCCGGTCTTTGACGTCTCACGTAATCTCAGAAAAGATAGTGATAGGAAATCGAAAGGAGAAAGGAAGAAAATGGACCCGATGAAAGAGGCTCTTCGTCCAGTTCCGCATGTTTGGGAATCTGAAATGCCGGATATTTTTCCTCTTTTAAAGAGGAAAAACTGATAATCATAAATTTCCGAAGTTCAACTCCCGACTCGGCTGTGCCTAATTTCGATTAGCATTCTTAGCTCTTTTGCGCAGATTTCATCTGTTTTCTCGACGGGCGACTTTTTTAAATTAGAGCTTAGAGGCATGGTGACCTCAATCGATAGGATAGATGAGAAGAAAGAAAAAGTGAAATTAGGTATACTCAGTGTGTGGTGTTGATTCTCAGCGATTTGTGATAATACTAATTCAGGAAGTACCAATAATATAAAAGATAGAAAATCAAAGACAGATTGTGTATTGCATTTGAGTCGTGTGCGCCTGTTCACCTTGGGTTTTCTATCTCTCTGTACTGTAACCAGTTGATAGCTGTTTTTTTTTAATGTGTATTGGTCTCCAGAGGGGGAAACCAATATAAAGAGTGGCCAAAAATCCCTTTACATTCAACATTTAGTAAAAAAAATAATAACTTAATAAACATTTATTCAACCAAAAAATCATATTAGTACAGTGGATCTGTTGTGCTCAATCGTGTTCTAAGCAAAACTGAAATCTGCGCCAGGTCCTACGGCACATTTTTAAAATCATCAAATTAAATTAAATTTTAAGAGACTTTTGGCCCACCCTTTACATTTGGAAATCTCCCCTTTTGAATCATACCTGACTTCTTCTCAAGCAGAAATGAGGTGTAATTAGATGAACCCCTAGAGCATCCATGGACGAACGGACTCGGGCTAAGCCGTTGAGCAAGTTGAGCAAGGTCGAGCATGGAAAAGCCAGGAACTTTTAGCGTATGTATCTCCGCTCCCATGTAAATTATTTTCAAGAAACTTTCACTGCGCGTAGATGGAAATGTCTACAACTCCTCTTCGAACTCCATCCAAGTTCGTTGTGCCTAGGCGAGGCTGTGAGCAATTATTGAAAAGATGTTGGATTGTTGAAGTTGATTTTAAGATGGACAAGAGCTCGTGATGGTCAGCGGAGGAGGAATAGGCCTGAACGCTGCAGTTGCATACCATCCAGGCCGCATACAACTTCTTTTCCATTGAAATTCTTTAGAAGGACCTTTCTGCAGATGGTTTTCGTGGACTTCTTCCCAATGACTGACCGATGAATCGATAAGGATAAATACTGCGAGATTGCTCAAAGGTTATTTGAATTTTCCCTCGGTTTACTTTGGGGAACAAGGCAATCATAGCGTAATGACTCATAAGGGACTGGAGCCCAAGGTCCATTTTCAGCTACTGATTTCTTTTCAATCACTGCCCATAACCTAGCTTTGGCAGAACCAATTTGAACAAAATTTCGAAGTTCTGTTGGGAACATAACATAATAAGCATCTATGCGCACTGCAAGTTTCACAAAAATAGCTCCTGTTACGTCAAATTTATATGTTGAAGTCTGTTGGTTTTATTTTTCCCCCGTACATCGTATATGAGCTGCGGCGGATTAGATAATCCAGCGTTATGACAACTAGTGTAATGGTAGTCACATATCATAATGAATATCGCGCGACTGTAATATTGTTGACATTAAATCGAGACTGTTGTGTCGGTTAGTGGTCTTTTCACGGCGTACACATCTTATTTAAAAAAGAAAACGGGCTCAGTCAGAGACCGAGGCCGTTTTTCTCATTAACTCCGTCACAGGCCTCAAATGAAGGCCTCATAAGAGGATCTCCATCCCGCATAGAAAAAAAAGAATGGAGAAAATCAGCGCCTGATTCTAACCTGAGAGCGTCCATAACTCTGGTTCTCCTGGCTCATGTTGAAATCAAGAGACACGAATAAGTGAGGTGTTAGACGTCGGATCATGAAGGGGATGCGGAAGGATGAGGCTGAATCAGTCGGTACTGAATGGGTTTAAGACACTTTCCTTGGATATCCCTGGAATATAAAAGATGGGCAACTTTTCCCCCTCGAGATTAGGTCCATGACGTTATCGATTGATCTTTAGCCATTTCTCAACGTTATGAGGTATCCACATTGTAGGGACGGATAGTAGTGGCTCTTTCACGTTCACACTTCTACCCAGAGAGACGTGAAAGTCATCGAAATTCATATGGTCTCTCCCTCTTTTATAGTCGAGGCATTCACACTAAGGGCAGCAAGTTTCACATATCAGCTCATCACTGGTCATAAAAAATCATTCTATTTCTTCCCGCCCCACTGAGGAGGAAACAGACGCGATTGTATTCAAGAGCCTGAAGAAAAGAACCCTAGAATTCCCAGAGAACCAAAGAAAATCGTATGATGAGTAAAAGACGGAATACGTATTATTCTTAGTATTGGCTGAGCGGATTTAACACTGACTGCAAAGAGTTTTCTATTCCTAGCGGTTAATCTTGTGAGGATGGAACGAGGAGGAAAGGGGAGGCTGACGGGAGCAGGGAAGGGGGCTTTCTTCGTTTTATTTTCTTCACCCCTGTAAAATGATCCAGAATTCAATTCGCACAGAAATGGATATAATTGCTGCTAAACAGACTGCACGAGATGAAATTGAATCAATTTTACAGATGCAAAGAAATTATTCCAGATTTAGGTCTTAATGAGTCACTTCACCTCACATGGATGCAGCGGTTCCTTCATTCTATTTCACCTATAAATTCCTTTCCAAGTACAAGCAGGATGGTCTCCCGTTCACCCATTAAATTTTATTGCTACTCCCGTACTAATTAAGACGGGCTCGTTCAATTATGGAAGACGAGCGGTACTACTCTTTCCTGATCGAATGCAATTTGTTTTAAGAAAATACAATTAATAATACTTGCACAATTTTTTATCGACGGTGGGAGGTAAGATGTTGCTTCGGTGCGCGCTTTATTACTTCACATGGAACATCGCATTTGATAATTATAAGTAATTTAAATTTTAAATTCATTTTATGATTTTTTCCAAACTCTAACCTCTATACGATGACATGAATCATCCGCAGCTGAAGTCAACATGTTGATAACCAAAATGTCGTTCACCTTGGGCGTCTCAAAGTGTCGATCGATGAGTAAGGCATGCAATGCAAAGAATCTGCATACCGACAAGCTGAAATGAGCCAAGAACATTGTATAAAGATCTGAAAGACCATTCCGTTGGTACATCACTCGACCATATTCAGCCACTTGAAGAAAAAGTGAAATTTTGGAAATATGCAACTTTTGAAAATTGTGGAAACTAATTCGAAAAAGATGCAACAAATTATATACCGTTGGAAAGATTTCGAGTTCCCCTTTCTAATGATGCTACCCATGATACCGTTACGTCCTCTGTCGCATTGAAATATTTTCAACCAAAGATTTCCAAAAAGCTGAAAATTCAAAATTTGAAGTGAACTATTCTCTTCGTAGCGGACAAATGTCAAACGAAAACTTGATTTATTGTTGTACATCAAAGAGGAGTGCCACTTACCTTAACGAGAAATGCGTCTTTTTCTTCGCCACATAGGGGTATGGGGGGGGGGGTTAAAAATGGCTTTAATTTCACATTTTCAATTTCAACTATGATCCTGAATTCCCATTCAAACTCTGAGGATGTTTCCTTAATTTTGTCTTCCATGGGGTTTTTCGGTTTCCCCCAAAGTTCGGGAGGGTAAGGGTGGGGGTGGGAGTGATGTGAGGGTGGGAATGGAGTGGGGGTGGGAGTGATGTGAAGGTGAGAGTGGGGTGGGGGTGGGGGCAATATCTTGTTAACCGCAGATCCGATGGGGGCCGATTATTTTTTTTTATGGGGTTGCTGGAGTGGCTGCAATTTTAATCACGAAATCCGAGATGGACAGGCGTGCTGACTGGTTGAGTTTGAATTGAATGATCTTACCAAGGGTTTGAATCTAGGGAGATGAAAGAAAATTTATAGAAAATTTCTTACTATGGGAATTTTCTAAAATTTTCTCATTGGAACTTACCGAAGTTTTAAATAGGTCCTCGTGTATTCGTTCTTTTCAGTTATCAAGACCTAGACTGGGTTTGTCTGCAGGCTTCATGTCTCCGTAACACGTTTGAAAATGCTATTTTCAGCTCAAAATGCCTTTGATTTTACCTAATTAGGAATCCGTAATAAATTTTTTTTTTTTTTACCAGCTTAATCTTGGAAAATTCCAGTCTCTTCATGTGAAGGTGTCCTATGGTTGCGCCTAATCTGCACTTGAGTGTGTGCTTTACTGTATGC